CTGGATGTATATCAGAAACTGGCAACATATGTAATGGTAATTAAAAGCGTTGTCGCTTCATATAGACCATAATAACCCAGCATCACATGACTGCTTCTGTGAGCCAGCTGTTGCATATGTGGTGATCATCATCATATCATTGGAGTGGCTGCTGGCGACAATTAGACAACACCAAGCTGATATTAACAGTAGCATAAACACCTTTTTGCATTGCTGATCTAGCTAGTAGTTGAGGCGGTTTTGGACAAGGTGTATCACCGTAGCGACATGCTGTTTTTGATTTCAGTTATTTCCTTACAGACAAGATGTTCTACATCTCTTTTGTGTCACAAAAGATTTTTCCGGTTTAGGGGTTTTAAATGCTAATCGTCTGTTTGTATGATGTGATTTGAATCAGTTGATAGTGTTTGCTCTATCATAACCCTGCACCATGGCTTGAGACCTGTTTGCTGGTTATAGAGAGAGGTAAATTGTTAGATATATCTGTCAGCTGTTGCACTATGGATATTTCACAAGACAATACTCGATTTACAATGGACCTGCAACAGTTGGATCTTGAAAACAAAAAATAGTACACTCAAGCTGCATTAATTCCAATACAATTTGAAATTGGAAAAATTTAATCTTTGAAATAAAAGTATATTTGAGTTTCAGTAGGACTTCACAGAAAAAATATACATTTATATTCATAGATTTGTTTATTTTGTTTAATGAAACTTTGTTTAATCACAACTTGATGAATGGATAGTATTGTATCTACCTCTAAAGTATGGTCACTTGCCAGGATAATGGTAAGTGTATAGGTCACTCTAGTCTGTCTCACAGTCCCTGAACCACACTAGTTTCCCTACTGCCTAACCCTCCCTGCAATGCTAAAGTACTAAATGAAGCAAGTCTAGATTTCCTCAGGTTTGAATCTCTGGTCTCCCTGGGTCTCCTTTTCAATTTAAATGGTTTTTTGTTACTCTCAAACATATATGTTCAGAGACTAAGCATTAGTCTAAGGTCCCTAACACAACTATGTGTAGGAGACATGTAATGGATCAGGTAATGGCTGGGTGACAAGGCAGATATTCTTTAATTGTACCAAAATAGCATAAATGTTCTTATTTTTAAATGCGTGAAAAATAATACTAACTTGTTGAGGAAAGGATAGGTATTACAAAAATAAAAACAATGGAGAAAAGGTTCGAAAAACAATTTAATTTCTTTGATTCTTTCAAACAAATTCCTCTGTAGACAGAAAAGCCCAGTGTACACTTGACTAGTTTTAGCCATAGATACACTGGTAATTAACAATACATTTTCAGTGTTTATCTTCAACATTTGTAAATTTTGTTCATATCATTTTCACTAGTTCTCTGAATTATTAATGAATTCATTTTGACGATAATGATTATCTAAGTGAAAACATATGCTTGAGCCATTGGAGATGAATATTGTATTTACAAGTTACTGAATTACTGAGATTGTTCAAGGAAGATTTTTTATTTTCCTTTTAAAGCATTTTCATTTTTTGGTCATTACATATGAAATGTCAAAGCTAGAGAATAACTGGTCCTGATTAATCAGTCAAACCAATCATATTAGGCATAATAGGCAGTGTAGCTGTGAAATTTATTTGAAAATTTGATTGAGTGAGCGAATTTAGTTTTACACCGCATTTAGCAATATTTCAGCAATATCACGGTGGGGGAAAACCACAAATGGGCTTCACACATTCTACCTATGTGGGGAATTGAACCCGGGTCTTCGGCGTGACGAGTGAATGCTATAACCACAAGAGTACCCCACCGGCCCTTGAAAATAAGTGATGACACTAGAGATATAAGCCAAATCAGAAGCATAAAATTTAATCAATCTTGAAACAGCATCTAGGTAAAATATACATGAGCACTTTGTTGACCAATATTATAATAATGGTTTATGTATAATTTTGATCATGCTATTGTTTTTGTACGTAGATATTTTAATTCTTTTTTCTTAGAAAGTCTTTGTTAGGTTTAGCGACATAATTTAATTGCACTAATGATTAAAAGATTGCCAGATCCGACCATAAACATAGTCTGAGTAAGATATACACAGGGCTCTCTGTAGACTGAATGTTGTGTATAAATGACATTAACATGCTTCACATACAGTGGGTTTACCAACATCATTAAAAGGCATCCATCCGTAGGGGCCACCTGCAATAACGGCCGTATTGTTCCAAGGTGATAAAAGGATGATATGGTGTGCTCACACAATTTGACATTGATCCTAAAATTATTCTCTTGTATCAGCTCATGATAAAAAATCATTTTGGGCCACCTTTTCGGACGTACACATTGTTTTAATTCCTGGCTCATAACTGTTTTGTTGATGTTAGTGATTTTCCGAAAGCCCTTTCACAACTAATAGCCAATTTTTCCTCATTATATCAGATTTAAATGAATTTTTAAGGATAAGTTCTTTTATGAGGCTTCCCTGAATCCTTTAAGGACTGAAACAACAGAAATATGTTGAGTAATAGCATTAGCGCAATAAACCACAGGCTTTGTCTTTATTCACATCGGATCACCTTCGCCTCTCTTCTGGCAACACGTACATGTTGACGACCTCGTTTTTATCAGCGCTGTCCACACTGCTGCGAGATGTGTGGAAATTACTTGCTTCTCGCCAGCTGCACAAGTATCAATTAGAAAATGTGTTAATTTTGGGTTGCACATTTCTCTACTTAGCTTATCAATGAGAGACAGTGCACATTTCCGTCCAGATCGACGGCTGCTGCAGATCGTCCTGGTGTTAGCTTGAGCTTTGACATGAAACATTTCACTTTCATACCCCTAGGATGCTCAATTTTGAAATCATTTTGGAAGCTGTGCATGTTTAGTCCTCATTGTTTTCAGTATGAAAAGTGATTACTTATTGATTTAATATTCTATGGCTCTCTGGAATCTTTTGAGAACGTCACTTCTTTGGTCTCAGGTTGGGATTCAGTGGTTGTTGTTGTTGTTGATGATGATGAAGGTGGTAGATGTTGCATTCCTGCAAACAGCAGGTGGATGCTGCCATATGAAGAAGCCAGGAACTTTCTGTTTCATTCCATTTGAAACTATTTGTTTGAACCTTGAGGCTGTTTCATAAATGACTCTGCTTGAAAAACTCATGTTGTTTTCCACAAAAGTGTGAGATATTTTTATGAATTTAGTTCTTTATGTTAAGTTGTAATTGAATTTCATGATAAGAAGACAGAAAAGGTGTTCACACAACAAACTTTTTACTTTGATGCAAAATAGATCGGGGAGCAGCAGGTCAAAATGGCCGAACAAAGTGGTTAAGACTTTGAAAGCTAATCTAGAGAACTCCTGTAAACTTGTCAATATGTTTTACATTTGCCACCATAACAGGTGGAAGACTAAATGATTTTAAGAAAGTGTCCAGGACTGCGCATCTTGTAAAGTCCTTCACATCACAGAAAGTGTCCAGGACTGCGCATCTTGTAAAGTCCTTCACAGAAAGTATCCAGGACTGCGCATCTTGTAAAGTCCTTCACATCACAGAAAGTATCCAGGGATCACAGAAAGTGTCAGGATCTGAAAGTCCTTCACAGAAAGTATCCAGGACTGCGCATCTTGTAAAGTCCTTCACAGAAAGTGTCCAGGACTGCGCATCTTGTAAAGTCCTTCACAGAAAGTGTCCAGGACTGCGCATCTTGTAAAGTCCTTCACAGAAAGTATCCAGGACTGCGCATCTTGTAAAGTCCTTCACAGAAAGTATCCAGGACTGCGCATCTTGTAAAGTCCTTCACATCACAGAAAGTATCCAGGACTGCGCATCTTGTAAAGTCCTTCACAGAAAGTATCCAGGACTGCGCATCTTGTAAAGTCCTTCACAGAAAGTGTCCAGGACTGCGCATCTTGTAAAGTCCTTCACAGAAAGTATCCAGGACTGCGCATCTTGTAAAGTCCTTCACAGGGATCATCTAGCCTTGCTTCATTAGGACATTTTCATTACAGTAATATGGTTCAGGGAATGTCTAGACTTGCTTCATTAGGACTTTTGCAGTAATATTGTTCAGGGAACGCCTAGACTTGCTTCGTTTAGGACTTTTGCAGTAATATTGTTCAGGGAACGTCTGGACTTGCTTCGTTTAGGACTTTTGCAGTAATATTGTTCAGGGAACATCTAGACTTGTTTCGTTTAGGACTTTTGCAGTAATATTGTTCAGGGATGGTGCGACACACTAGGATTCGACCACCATTGATTGTGCTTGTTTCTGTTATCACTGTGTGACATTCTGAGCACTTGATGTAAAAGGGGTGTTTCATGCTGATAAGGCATTATAAGCCCAAACATACTTCAAAGGGCTTTCAATGAAAGCAACTGATTGTGATTATGGGTTCAGATTCTGATTCACTCTGATTATCTTTCTAGAATTTTGACAACACCATACCTGTGCTTGTAGACATCACCAAATCTTTTTCCACACATTTAACAGCCACTTACTCACTTAAATCTTCATGCACTATTTCAGACGATATTGAACCAAGATCATGTATCTATTAAAAATGCATTTGAATTTTGCATCATTGGTTTCAGTGTTGTTGAACCAAAATAAGACAAAATCAGTATCAGTTTTGTGTCTTCACCACACTGGTTTTCCTGTCTTGAATGTTGTTGTTTACAGCTAGGTTGGTCTAATTAAACTGGACAACAGCTGACAGGGACATAAATAGACATGATTACCTTTTTGTGTTTCTGTGTCGTAAATATTGTATATTAGGAGCTTTGGTGAATATAATACATATTTTTTTCATAGTGACATAAAATATTTACAGTACAGAAAAAGAGAGAATGGGAATGTGTGAGCAAATGTCATGTCCACATCTGAGGTTACGAAAAGAAAAAAACCTCATAAATTCTCTTCTTAATTCTTTAATGCAATGGGTCTCCTGGCACCCTGGGCAGGAATCCCTATATGTGACAAGGATTTCTGTAATACAAAGATAATTAAATACAGGGTTTTACATAGCTCTTCGAAACCGGAAGTCCTGGGGACTCAGGGCATATGTATTCTGAGAGTCCATTTCGAAAATTTGGAGTCCATCAATTTGCATGCAAACATTGATCATGGATGCTTCCCATTTGATAATGATTATGTTATAATATGTGTTACTATCAATGTCATTAGAATACTGATTGTAAACAGAATGTTTATATTTTAATATGGGATATCATTACAAACTCAGAAAGTTCTTTGCCAGAAAAAAGTTATATTGTGTCCACAAGGACGACAGGATTTTAGTTTGGGGGTACTTCATAAAATTTCTGCGTCCAATACGCAGGAATCACGCGTTCCGTAAAACCCTGTTAAATAAAAGAAAAAGACGAGTACCGGTAATAAGCTGATTATAATGTCATTCATTTGGCCTGCCTTGTGTTTGTTTGTGGATGGCGCAAGTTTTTGAGTGAGTGAGTTTTAGTGTTACACTGCTTTTAGCAATATTCCAGCAATATCTCTTTTTTACAACAGAAGTTGGGCTTCACACATTATGCCCATGTCGGGAATCAAACCCGGGTCTGCGGTGTGACAAGTGAACGCTTTAACCACTAGGCTACCCCAGGGCCCCCGCAAGTTTCCTTGAACACCTGGTGTCATCGCTGTTTCATGGTTATTTGTGATCACTAGCTTTTTTATACAGCGAGAATTGTACAGTTGACTCTGTTGTCAGCAGACGTTTGGTTAATATGGAAGTGGTTTTGATTTGGGTTTTTTTCTATAGAATATTCAAGATTTAAGTCTGTATTATTCTGAATGGATGAGCTTTAGAATCCATGAATGAATCCAAGGTTATCATATAGTGCTAAATGTGGTATAGCCATGTTTGTCTGTATGATCACCTGCACCTCTGAGACCCATGTTTTTGCTTGTTGGGGACACTAGTTAATAGACAAACAGGCAGACACTGAACTGATGTATGGAGATTTAAAAGTGCAAACAGCATTTGGTGTCATTATTGCTCTTGTCTCTAAGTAGAAGCTAAATCTTTGTGTATTTTAATGTGTAATCATTTTGTGGTTGTGTCAAACGTCAGATAACTTGAAGTATTTACACGGGTTGCTTCAAATCAACTTCACAGTTTCAAACCATCTTTGTGTCATTTTAACCCAACATATCTAACCTTTTTTCTGCAGTTACTAAAAACTTTTTTTTTCAGGTCTGTTTTTCCTTTGAATTAATATGTAAATGTTGATGAGTACTCAAACGGACTTGTAAATTCAAATCTGTATCTGATGACATACATGTATTATACCTGTGTACCCTAGTATGATACTGTAACCAGAAACTAACAGTAAGAAAAATAATTTTTGTCATGATAGTTTTTTTTAACAATTTTCTTTGTCATATAAATACAAAGATTTATTACTCTTAAAAATAAAAGATGCATAAGCCACCAAAATGAGAAAACAAGAATACAATTTTAAAGTAAGCCTCGATATTACCCCAAGGTTATGCATGTGAAAATGTTATAGTTTGGTGATCTTTCAATGTTAAGACTTTCGTTTGTTATATGTTTACTGGTAGTTAGAAAGCACTTGTAAATACTACCGTGTAACTCTCAAGTTAATGAGTGGAACTTTATACCGTTATTGTTTGTTTGTTTGTTGTTTGACGCCGCACTCAGCAATATTCCAGCTATATAGCAGCGGTCTGTAAATAATCGAGTCTGGACCAGACAATCCAGTGATCAACAACATGAGCATCGATCTATGCAATTAGGATATTATGACATGTGTCAACCAAGCCAACTGTACTGTTAGGGGAATATCTGAATAATTCAAACCTTGATAAGTTTTTCATGGTTGTCATGTTTTATATTAGTTGTTATCTTTTCTGAAGAATTTATGCAGTTTTTGCATAAAATGACAGCTTGACTAAGGCCTAACTGAAAAACTGATAACTGATGTATGCTTTTCACATTATTCATTTTTTTCAGCTTCTGTATACATAGGAATGTCAATAATATTAAGTATTCCTAAAGTTGAAAATGACTCATTTGTTGATAAGCTTTATGAGTTCTAATGAATATTCCGATAGGTAAATTGGGCTTTAATCATTTATGACAAGTACTGTTGTAATAATGTATCTATGTCATTAGTTGGTGCCAGTGCACATCCAGATATAGATGTGACAAACTTTCTGGGGGAGAACTACAGCGAGTCCTCATACTAGCAGGTTTTGGAACAAGCTCATGTACGCGAAACTGCGCATATGCGATTTGCTGTAGGCTCTTTTAATTAAACCACTGTGGTCCTCAGGTGCTCATATGTTGGAGAACGCTAATTCCAGTCTGATGTTGTTCCCTGCTCCCGGACCAGCTGATTCTAGTGTCTATTTCAATACCATAAAAAGCTTCCACAGCAGAAAAAACACAGTGTACAATGGAGAGAAAAAACTGCATGTTACTCTCAGACTTTGCGATAGACTGACAGATTTTGAAATAATGAATTCGGGTTTGTTTGAATAGTTTATCCTGTGTAGTTTTTTCAGAATTGCCAGACTTAAAAGTTGCATTTGAAAATGTACATCCTGAAATTTGTTGGGATGTTTGGACAGTGAAGTTGTTTCACATTTGGTAAAGATGTAGGTGGAAATTTAATGTTTGGATTGTGGTCACTCACAGATGTAATGGTTGACAAGATTGTCCATGCAATGCAATTTTCACTGACCGGATGGGGATACAGCAGTAAGAAATAGAATATCAAAGGAAACAAAGATATCATGTTAGAGTATCGAAAGTTTGATTCACAAAATACAGTGATATCTATATATACTTGTAATCATAACCTCTTGTAAATGCCTTGATGTTTGTTTGTTTTTTAATGCCACTCTAAGCATGGGTTGCTGAAGACCAATTCTAACTCATATCTTTACGGGTCACATTTCCTCATGTTAATATACTTTACATTTTATCATGTCCATAGATACTCCTCATATCCTCATATCCATATACTTCACATTTAATCACGTCCTTACAATCCACATTTCATCATCTCCATGTATCCCACATTTTCTCATGTCCATATAATCCACATTATGTCCATATAATCCACATTATGTCCATATAATCCACATTTTCTCATGTCCATATAATCCACATTATGTCCATATAATCCACATTTCCTCATGTCCATATAATCCACATTATGTCCATATTAATCCACATATTCCACATTATGTCCATATAATCCACATTTCCTATGTCCATATAATCCACATGTCCATATTTTCTCATGTCCATATAATCCACTTTATGTCCATATAATCCACATTTCCTCATGTCCATATAATCCACATTATGTCCATATAATCCACATTTTCTCATGTCCATATAATCCACTTTATGTCCATATAATCCTCATTTCCCCATGTCCATATAATCCACATTATGTCCATATAATCCACATTTCCTCATGGCCATATAATCCACATTATGTCCATTTAATCCACATTATGTCCATTTAATCCACATTATGTCCATATAATCCACATTTCCTCATGTCCATGTACTTCATATATAACCCTCCTTGCTTTTTCATCTCCACTTATTTCTTGTTTCCTCATCAAGCAGTCAACATCTAATCCTGAATGTAAATACAAGTCAGTAACTTTTGGAATGCTTTTTAGCAAAATGTATTGTCATATTTACAAATGCATCTTCCTAATTATTTATGATATTTGTTTAATTTTCTCAGTTGATACACTATTTATGTTTACAAAGATTGCCATTGTTCTTGCATTCTGTTGTTCTCTCATTGTGTTGTAGTTAAACCACAGTTGGGGGTGAGACGATGGGTGAAGTAGTCAGTGTGTGATTTAACACTGCCGGAGTATGTTGAAGTCTCTACAGCTATGTTATCAGCTGATCTCACCTTGACGGAATTCCATTTTGTACACTACCACTGACACTTCCATATTACAATATTTTTCTTCCGGTGAAATATGTTTTCTTCCCAAAAATGAAAACACTGGGTACAGCTTAATCAGGCTTTTGTGAATTGTCACAAGGAAATGTTGGTTTTCTTTCTTTTATTCTAATAGGAAACCAGGAAAATCTAATAGTTTGAAGGATTTTTGCCCTACCACAACAAATGAGTTTGAAAACTCATTGAAAACTGCAGCTATGCTAGTCGTTATCCGCTAGTCTCCTGCTTCAGGAAAACTGGCTTAAGTATCTTAGTAGAAGACACCTGGAATGTAAGGAATCAACACAAGCTCATAGCTTGTCATCTTATTGTATATAAGTGTTCTGTTATAAGTGGTGGTTATCCATCATACCAGGTAATCCTTTCTTTCTGCATGGAATATCAGTTTAATGTTAGGTATAAAATACTTGGTGACTTGGTCTTAAAAGGTCTTTAGGTCCATAACTATGAGAGTGAGGAAGTGAGGAACCCCAGATTTTTAGAAATACAGAAATCCACCCTAAACAAAGTCAAAATACAGAAACATACCCGCTACCCTAAACAGGGGACGAGTCCATATTCCGTGATCCAAAACTGAAACTGTATGTAGCTGTTCCCGTTCAACCAATTGCGAGTGGTATTGTGCATCGCAAAATATTTGTTAGTATGTATGTTCGTTTCTTATATTACACAATCAAATGCATCCAATACAACAGTATGGCAGTTCCGATCAAGAAAATGGCACCATGCGGAATGGACTCATCCCGTGGTATGTTTCTATATTCTAATTTTGGCTAGGCTATGTTTCTGTATACAGAACAAGGACCCCTTGAGCGAGTGTGAGTGGCAATATTCAGGCAAAATCATGGTGAATGAATATCATGAGTATATGGTATAACAACTAGCGTCATAAGTATTGTGATGTCAGCGTGTGGTAAACTACAATTGTCAGGGCTATCACAAGTCTTTATGAAAGTTTGGCACTTAACAGTCACAGAGGCCTCGGTGAAAACAATTGCCTGTGACTCATCTTCTAATGTTGATTATTACATAATTCTAAATATTATATTGTCTAGCCAAACATTTGAAAACAGTCCCGATATCTGGCTTCTAATAATCTGCATAAACAAGTGCATGTGTATTCCTTCATCCCATATATACAGGCGAGAGTAGTGTTTACCTTGTAGACGGAACCACCT